GGGTTGTTAAAAAAGAGGAAGAACCCCAATGAGATGGATTGGCACAGTGGCAGCAGCAATGGGATCAGGCATAGCAATGATTGTGAGATTGGCCCAGGACCAGGCAGTGTTTTGTTCTGCTGTACATCGGGTCACTATGAGTCGGTACCAACTCGAAGGCACCTAACGACAACAGCAACAACAACCACCTGGTCCTACCAACGGAGTTGGGAAAATCCCTCCAGGTGGCCCTACTTCCCCCAACAAACATGCTTAAATGAGCTAGAACTCCATATAATGCTGGCTAGCTTGTCCTGAGCTCAGCTGCTAATAATAGGTGGTGGGGGGTTGGGGTTGGAAACCAACAGGGCTTGGGCAGAGCAGAGACCTGCTGCCTCATTTGGGTTCTGGGCTCAGCCCTCAGGCCTGCCAGCAACTGCTCTTCCACCTCTAATCCTGACTCCTACTCCAGTTGTCGACTAAAGGGAGGCTCTGCGATGGGACGTAGATGGGCCAAAGCGCCAACTCTCTGGCAAAATCACTTTGGCCTAAGCTCAGAGACCACGTGCTCCCCTCTGTGAGCCATTACTGACCATAAGCTGCAAGGCGTGGAGATGTATAAAGCCCCCCTCCTCACTCCTGCAGAGCCCTATAGTAGACTCCCCAGTCACCATCGTGGAAGGCTGCAGTCAACCTTGTCTCTGAATACCCAACATGCCCACACATAATGAAGGCCTCTTCAGTCGTTGTTCCTGTGAATCCATGCACGACAAGGCTGCTCTAGTCTTGTTCCATCCCTGAGAGCAGACTGACCACAGCTGTGGAAGAGCAGACTGAGCTGTGGCTTTCATTGAGTATCTGCAGCCCATTTGGTTAACTCAGCACCGCCCTGCTGTTCTTGAATTCTGCAGGTCCCAACCCAGGGCCGTGCATCCCCATAACCACTGACTGATGGCCTCACCACCTGCTCTCCCTTCTGGCGGTCACAGGACCATCTCCAGTATCACATGAGGTAGGGATCAGATGGCTCTGGTAATAGGCCAGGCCTGTTGGGTATTCAGAGACAGGGTTGACTGCTGCCTTCCACGATGGCTGGAAGGGTGGAATGGGGGTGAACAGCAGCCCTCTACAAGTAGAAACTCAGTGACGAAATGCCAACAGGCATGATGCCATCCTGTGAGTTGCTCAGAGAGCAAAGCCCGTAAAAGAATAGCTGAGGCTAGTGATGACCGACAGGCAAGACACCCATGTCTAACCGCAGGGCCTGAAGACCTACATGACCCCTTTGGAGAAGTAACTTGGCAAGTCTTAAAAGTGACTGAAGGTCAAATGCTCTCACCATATGATTCCAACCCTAGGTATCCCCCTAGCACTATTGACAAAAGAAAAAACCCTTCCATCCACAGTAGTGCTATAGGCCACAGCAGAACCATGGCCTAAAGGATGCACCAAGATCAATCTGTAACATGAAAAAAACACTCATGGAAGAACATTTGGTGACAAAAATCAGATTCTGAATACTTTTAAAGGTGAGGGATATATTCATTACCCTTATGGTTTCACAGGTAATGCGTATATCTAACCATCAAACTGTATATTTTAAATATGTGCTGGTTATTGCATGTCAATTATACCTCAGTAAGGCTGTTTATGTTTTTTAAATAAAAGAACTGAAGTGACAGAAACTTAAAATAAAGATTTCTGTACACCATTTAAACTTCACACATTACACCCTAACATAAAGAAGACAGAAAGGAGTCACGTGCCTTGACAGTCACAAGATGACAGGCATTTTTCCTTTTCTAACTGTAAGCTTCTGCTAATGTACATGTGTAACTTTTACATAGTGTATTAACTTAAGTGCATTGCATTTACAAGAAAAAGGGCCTGGTGGGATCTGGACTTTACAGGTGCAGGCAAAGGCTACCAGGGGCCAGGCTGAGGGAGGGGCATGGGTAGGTGGAGTAGGTGCCAGGTGCTACAATAGGTGCTGAATGAGCAGCAGAGTGAAAATGGAACACAAGCAGGTCTGTCCAGAGCCTAGATTCCCCTTCCCCACAACCCCTGTAGCCTCCTGCCTCTGGTCTGTCCAGCGGAGTAAGGTACATCTCCCAATCATACCTGCTAGTGGCTGTGGAGGATGTGTGATCGGGAGAAGAGAAGACGTGGTGTAGATAGTCATTCAACAGCTTCTCCTGAACAATACCTGCTGGGAAGGGAAAAGAAGGTCACATGGTCAGTACAGCTGACGGCCTCTGACTGTCCAAACATCTTCAGTTGCTGTCGGGTCAGAAGTGCACCCACAATAAGTGCACTGCTCCACAGTTACTGATGAAGACAAGCTGGCTCACAGGTATCAACAAGTTGTTGTTGTTGTTGTTAAGTGCCGTCGAGTCGGTTCCGACCCATAGCGACCCTGTACAGGGTTTCCGAGGGTTTAAATCCTTACGGGAGTAGAAAGCCTCATCTTTCTCCCGCGGAGCGGCTGGTAGTTTCAAACTGCTGACCTTAAGGTTCGCAGCCCGATTCGTAACCACTACGCTACCAGAGCAAGGTGCATCAGAGCTGGGGCTTTCTGCCTCTGCCCCTACCTTTTCCTTCCCACAACACAAGGAGCCCTCTCCCAGCCCTTACCTGTGACTTTGGCTTTCTTGTTATCTGAAGTCAGTCTATAGCTTTTGCGGGAAAAAGACATTCCAGTCCCCTTGGATGCCATCCTTCATGTCTCGGTGGTCCTGAGGACTGAGCCAGAGGCAGAGCCCGTCTGCATGAGGCCAACCAAGATCCCCATAGCTGACCCCAATCCTGGTATGTCAGGAAGCCTGGGGGGCAGGTAAGAATAGGTGCAAGCACACTCATACACATTCCAACCAGGGGCAGAGGAAGGCAAGGGTTCCCGAGTCCTAAACGGGGATTATGTGACAGGGACCATGTCTTGTCCCCCTCTGTGTCTCAGTGCACAGCAAGTGCCAGATACACATTCACTGAATCCAATCACATGCCTCAACCCTGGGGAAGTCAGGCCAAGTGTCCAGAGTGAAGTGCCATACTGCCATCTCAGCAGTAAGCCACATGGGTACAACTCAAACCTAAAGAACCTTACAAACACATTTCCAGAAGACTGTTCCACCATCAGGGGCATGGTACAACCTCCTGCCACAATTCCCACCGACACTCCCAGGGCTATAGTTTCCTCCTCAGCTCAACCCGTCATTTATCTCAATGATGTTGCAGCTGCTGCAGATCCTGCACTAATTACCTGGTAATGGCCTCATGATCGACAGCTGTGCTGTCCAATACACTAGCCACTCACATGTGGCTAAAGATTTAAATTAAATCAAGTTTTAAAACATAAAATTCAATTCTGCAATTGCATTTACTACTCTGCAAGGGTTCAGTGACTACCATGGGACACAGTGTGCATTTAGAGCATTTCCATCGTCTCAAAAAGTTCTATTAGATAGCTCTTGTTTTAGAGCACCCCTGTCTTTGCCTTAGCCAGAACCCCTGTCTTTGTAGCTGTCTATTATCTCGCCCCACACAGGCGCTCCGTTCCCGCCACACACTTTTGCCATACACAGTCCGCACCACGCCTGCTCCTGGGGAAGGTGACTCCCTCGCCCTGATGCCTCCCGTGAGCCCTCAGTGCGCGTCCATGACCGCTGCCCCCCTCACATCAGAACAGGTGCAAGCTAATTAGACAAGGTCAGTTATTTGATCAGCAAACCTCTAGACACCCACTCTTGGTGTTTTAGGTGCTAAATATTCCGGAGTGAGGCATACCCTGACGTTGCCCGGGAACTCCCTGCCACGGTGACCCCGTCTAGTCCCGTCGAGGGATCCGGGTGGGAAACCGACACCGTCCTGGGGCCCAAGGACGCCGAGGGCAGCGCTCGGCACTCCCAAATCGCTCTCGCCCGGCCCAAAGCCCCGGAGGACCCTCCAAGTCAGCTCCCACATGGGACCCGCACCACAGGCCGCGATACTCGCAAAGCAAGCGCCGTCGCACTGGGCGGGCCGAAACCGCTAGAGGAGCCACACTGACCCGCCAGGCTCGGAGCCCTGCGGACCCGTACTCACCCCAGTCCCGGTGGCCTAGTCCCGGCTCACAACATCCGCCCAGCCGCCCGGCTACGGCGCCCGTCCAGGGCCAAACCGCGCGCCCTCCCGCGCGCCGCACCGCCCGCCGCGCACGCGCACTGGTACCCGCCCGGCCGCCACCAGGGGTCCTCCTTCACCGTCTCCCGCCAGGATGTTCTGGTTGACTTCCCCTGACCGCCCACTACCCAACTGCCTCCCATCCCTGCCAGCGCTGGAAAGGCGCTACTAGCTCAGTCGTGGCGAAGAGCAGTGTCCTAACGGGGAATCACAGGTCGCGTGCTTCAGCTCTTATTAGTTCTTGGAAGACTGGCCCAGATGTCCCCTAGGGTGGCTTGCAAAGCTGCTCCTGCCAGGGTTGCCACAACCCCTCACCTTCAACCCTGCTCCAATTCAGGCCCAATGAAAGGCCTCAGTCACCCTCCCTGGGATGATATCTCTGAGGGAAGTCTTCCTAGGCTTCTGGTGTCAGGGGTGTAGGCCTGATCTGCCACTGCTGGAGCCGATAAGTCAGCAAAAAGGGCAGGCGGTGTTGCGCTGGAGGGGGGTTGGGGAGGAGGAACAGATGTTATCCACAAGGGAAAAACAACAGAGGCTTGGGAAATTTTCATGTCACTGGCCAGGGGCTGGACCCAGGCAGCTCCCAGGTCCACACTGGGCCTGCAGATAGCAGAGGCTGCAAGAGAACTCCACCCCACCCTGCTACAGAATACCTCAAGCCCCTCCACTGAATACCTGTCCTCTAGGACCACTCCGTACATAGGCCCCTCAGGGGTCTAGTTTGGACAGGATGAGGGCCTTTGCACCTGCCACAGGGTCTCTGATCAGGCCCCAGCTGGCCTGGAATGGGGGTGTGGAGCCAGAGCCACCCAATCCTGTCGAGACAAGTTTCATAACTTCCCGGATGGAGCTGCAAGTGGGTCACAGTGCAGTTTCCAGCCAGGAGAATGATGTGGCTCCCACTTCTGCTGCTTCTGTTGCAGTGCTCAGGCACCTCTGGTGAGTGCTTCCCACCCTGATCTAAATCTTCCCTCAGGAGGGGGTTGGCCTGAAGCCTATCTTGCTATCTAAGCTAGAAACTCACTTTCCTGCTGAGCATGGAAAAGTGATTTTGGCCTTTTGTGTAGAGTTGGGTAGTCCCAGTAATACACACCCAGGTTTCTGTGAACACATACATGTACTGTAGCATTGAGGCAGTGTTGGCCCACACAGATGCAGGCACACAAGTAGGTAGTCACATGTCCTGAGTCTGATCTGTCTCTTTAGTCCAGCATATGTCCTCTTGCTGGTGAGAGCCCAGACTGAATGAGTCAAGTCAGAATGCCTGGTGGACAATATGATGGCTCTGACCTTTGGTACTCTTATTTGTAAGATAATATGAGGCAAGCTCCATCACCCACTACTCTCATAGAATGTATGTGTCCAATCTGAATCCACTGCCTGGTCCACTAAATGGGGATACTGGTGATGACATTCACATCTGGGCTTGCTCCCCTTACCCTATGCAAGGGGCCAGCCCTTGAATATGTCCACCATAGGGTCCATCCTGAGGCCTTGGAGCTCTGGTCCACTAAATGAGCAAAGTATGGACACATGGATATACTTGTATGTGGACATACATGCATGCCTATGTGCCTTGTGCCCACCACATGCCCATCCGACAGGGCAGCGCTCGCTGCTGAATGACTTCCAGGTACTCCGGGGTACAGAATTGGAGCACCTGCTACATACAGTGGAAACTGGGGCTTGGCAAGAAGATGTGGCAGACGTAGAGGAGTGTGCCAGGCGCTGCGGGCCTCTTCTGGATTGCCGGTGAATGGCCATGGAATCTAGATAAAGCTGGGGCAGGAGAGCTTGGGTTGTTGGCTGACACTGTCCTCCCCTCAGGGCCTTCCACTATAACGTGAGTAGTCATGGTTGCCAACTACTGCCATGGACCCAGTACTCACCCCAAACAAGACTGCAGCGTTCCTGGCACTGTGATCTCTTCCAGAAAAAAGGCCAGTAATTTTAGTGAAAAGGGACAGGGGTGAGGTAGGGTGACCGGCTTCAGGTTACTTTGTCCATCTCTTGATTCCAGACTACGTGCGGACCTGCATCATGGGCAATGGAGCCCATTATCGGGGCACTGTGGCCACTACCTTGGCTGGTCTGCCCTGCCAACACTGGAGCCACAAATTCCCTGTCGACCACAAGTGAGAGAGACATCTCCCCTTGGTCTCTGCCTGGCCCCTTCCCCAGTACCTATAGTAATGCCATCCAACTCTCTCAGATACATGCCCACACTCCAGAATGGTCTGGAGGAAAACTTCTGCCGTAATCCTGAAGGGGACCCGGGAGGTCCTTGGTGCTACACAACAGACCCTGCAGTGCGCTTTCAGAGCTGCGGCATCAAGTCTTGCAGGGAGGGTAAGTTGCGCAGGATGAAGTGGGAAGCGGGTGGGGCAAGCTCACATCCATCCATGAACACAAGGGTCCCGCACCTCCAGCCACTTGCATTTGGTGCAATGGCGAGGATTACCGTGGTGCTGTGGACCACACCAAATCCGGACTCGAATGTCAGCGCTGGGACCTTCAGCATCCGCACTCGCATCCCTTTGAGCCAAGCAAGTACGGGTGGGCAGGACTAATGCCCTGGGGGCTGGGTTAAGTAAGGATTGAAGCCTCCAGAGAAGGGGCCGGGTGGGGTCTGAGACTGGATCTAGCTCATGTCTTGTTGCCGGCCCCAGGTTCCTAGACAAAAGTCTGGATGACAACTATTGTCGGAATCCAGATGGATCCGAAAGGCCCTGGTGCTACACCATTGACCCACTGAAGGAGCGAGAGTTCTGCGACCTCCCTAGCTGTGGTATGGTGCAAGGTAGGGTCTGGGAGGGCACCTAGGGAATTGAGGGGCGTGTCCTGGCAGGGAGGGTCCTGGAGGGGAGACAGGTACTGACAGCCCAGTACTGACAGCCCGGGCCCAGGAACTGGATGGAAAGCAAGTTCCTGGAGAACCAGGGACTCTTTTAGGGACTGGTCTGTGAGCAGCCCAGGTTCCATTTCCTGCTTGGGATCTGAGCTGCCTCCATCCATCCCAGGGCCTAAGGCACAGCCACACCAGGAGGCCATAACGCTCGACTGTTTCCGCGGGAAGGGTGAAGGCTACCGGGGCACAGCCAATACCACAGCCACAGGCATTCCCTGCCAACGTTGGGATGCACAGAGCCCGCATCAGCACAGCTTTGCCCCGGAGAAATATGCGTGCAAGTGAGGTAGTGGGTGGGCACTGGGGGCATACTCCCGCAGGTGGGCCCGGAGGTGAGCAGTCCTGGGGCCTGGGGCTGAGTTGCAAGTATGGCCCCAGCCAGAGAGAGGCGGGCAAATTGGCTGAGGGGCACACCTGCACAGGGACCTTCGGGAGAATTTCTGCCGGAACCCTGATGGCTCGGAGGCACCCTGGTGCTTCACGTCAAGGCCTGGCATGCGCGTGGCCTTCTGCTACCAGATCCGGCGTTGTGCTGATGATGTGAAGCCGGAAGGTGAGGCCCGGTGGAGGGACCAGAGCTGGGAATCTAGGTGCAGTGCCAGCTGGAGGGCTGGGTAGGGACCAGTACTGACAGCCGTCCCCTATCACCCACCGCAGAATGCTACCACGGTGCGGGGGAGCAGTACCGGGGTTCTGTCAGCAAGACCCGCAAGGGCATCCAGTGCCAGCGCTGGTCTGCAGAGACGCCTCACAAGCCACAGTGAGTCTGTCTAGGCCAAAAGTGGCAGTAGATGACCATGTGAAGATGATACCCACATTTGGGGTACATATTGCATGCTTCTCAGAACGAAGTCCAGAGGGTGGTTTGGGATGACCCAACTAGAATTTTGTGCCCCTCTTGTCTAGGTTCACACCCATCGTGGCTCCACATGCAGAATTAAAGGAGAACTACTGTCGGAACCCAGACAGGGACCGCCATGGGCCCTGGTGCTACACTATGGACCCAGGAACCGCGTTCGATTACTGTGCTTTGCGGCGCTGCAGTAAGCAACGGTGACACACCCCAAGGCCCTTGCCCCCAGTTCCTAGGGCAAGTAGTTTTCTTAACCTCAGTGAACTTGACTTTTCAGATGATCACCAGCTGCCGTCCATCTTGGAGCCACCAGGTGTACATTTGAGCTGGGCGTGGGGCTGGGTCCTTTTACCTACCCCAGTTGGGTCTTATCTAGCCCACCCTGTCCTCTAGACCAGGTGCTATTTGAGGAGTGTGGATTGAGAGTGGATCGGCCTAACCTTTGGCGCTCCAAGCTGCGTGTGATAGGGGGCCAGCCTGGAAACTCCCCCTGGACGGTCAGCCTGCACAACCGGTGAGGCACAGCTGTCTGTCTCCCGAGAGGGTTTGAGGTTTTGCTAGCGAAGGGTTGAAATCTGCCCCTTGCTTTAGGGGTCCTCACTAGACATGGCAGGTCTAGCATGTGTCTCCTATGCCCCCTGTCCCAGGCAGGGCCTACATTTCTGCGGAGGATCCCTTGTGAAGGAGCAGTGGGTGCTGACTGCTCGCCAATGTTTCTCATCCTGGTGAGCTGGGATTGGGGGCCAACTTGGCTTTGTCCTCCACATTGTAGCCATTTGACTCAGACAAGCCAACAGGCACTCCCTAGGAAAGCCTACTGAGATAAGACTGATATATCAGGTCTTCTTTCTCAGCCATGTGCCTCTCCTGGGCTATGAGGTGTGGTTGGGCATGATGTTCCAGAACCCACAGCCCGGGGAGCCAGACCTGCAGCGGATCCCAGTGGCCAAGATGGTATGCGGACCCTCCGAATCCCAGCTTGTCCTGCTCAAGCTGGAGAGGTGTGTGGAGAGGTTGAGAGATGAGGTGGGCTCTACACCTTGTGATCTCAGGCCTTGAATGCTATCATACCTGCTGTAGACCTGTGACCCTGAACCAGCGTGTGGCTCTGATCTGCCTGCCCCCTGAGCGGTATGTGGTGCCTCCAGGGACCAAGTGTGAGATCACAGGCTGGGGAGAAACCAAAGGTAGGAGTACAGTGTAAGGGCATGCATAGTTACGGGCCAAGAGGCCTAGCCCTAGATCCTATCCAAGAACCTACCTCTTGTTAACATACTTCCCCCCAACACATACACACCCTGTAGGCACAAGTAATAAGGTCCTGAACGTGGCCTCGCTGAGCGTCATCTCCAACCAGGAGTGTAATGTCAAGCACCGAGGACGAGTACGAGAGAGCGAGATGTGTACTGAGGGCCCGCTGGTCCCTGTGGGGGCCTGTGAGGTCAGTGGCAGGTCTCCTGGGCTGGCCTGAGGAAGGTGTGGGGAGCTGGAAATGTACTACTTTATCCCCAAGGGGGCTAGTCTTCACTGTGCTTTAGGGTCCTCTCACCAGTTCTCCAACCTGCCAGGGTGACTACGGAGGCCCGCTTGCCTGCCTTACCCATGACTGCTGGGTCTTGGAGGGACTTATAATCCCCAACCGAGTGTGTGCACGGCCACGGTGGCCGGCCATCTTCATGCGTATCTCCATGTTTGTGGACTGGATTCACAAGGTCATACGGCTGGGCTAAGCCTGGCCCCATGTACCCTGGGGAGGAAGATGCTTCCTGTCAAGATATAAAGTCACCTTTCCTCTTTACACCTGTGCAGGGTACTTCTTAGCCTCTGCTTCCAGAGAAGTTGGCGACTTTTCGCTAGGGTTTGGGTGAACAGTCTGACCTGAAACTACTTCAACTGTGGGTGCTGTGGAAGAAGCCATCTCAAGTCCCTTAAGACACACTGAGAAGGGTGGTCTAAGGCCAGTTTCTTATAGTAGGGGCTGCAGGAGAGGGAGCTAGCCAGGTATGGAGTCTTTCAGCAAGGACAGGCTCTCACACTGGAGGTCGATGACGCCCTTGTGGCTACTGCATTCACAGCTTAGAGCCTCTGAATCCCAGGCTGAGGGCTGGGATTGGGGATGATTTGATACAAAATACCAGCAAGAAGCAGGCTCTGTTCTCATTTATTGTAACAAAGCCCACCCATCCACAGAGTCCAGAGCAGAGAAGTCTCTTGTCATTCTAACAGACCCTGGGATCCCCAGGAGGGAAATGTTGATCAGCTCACGTTAGGGGCAGAGAGATCAGCTGCCCAAGTGGGTGCGTAGCCAGAGCACAGCATTCATTAAGCTGTCCGACTCCACCTCCATTTCTGAGAGTGTATGAGTGCTTTTGGGATAGAGTAGCAGCCTGTAGGGGTGGAGCAGCAATGCTTGAGATTGGAGGACCCGTCCCTGCTCCCCTGCCCATCAGCAGCCAGGGCTTGCCCTGCTGGACTCACCGAACAGGCACGTTCCGTGCCTTGAGGGCACGGTAATACTCTATGCCCTGTTTGAAGGGCACACGCCGGTCCTCCTGGCCTAGCATCAGGAGCAGTGGCGTCTTCACCTGGATGTGGGAGAAGTGGAGAGCAGCAGTGAGCAGGTCTCTGGGCTTTGGATGAACAGTTGGCAGATTGAATAAGGAGGAGGGTCACGTACCTTAGGGACATACTTGATGGGTGACTTCTCCAGCATCTCAACCCACATGCTGAGGTCTGGCAGGTAGTCACTACTGTAGAGGAAACCAGCTTCTACCACACACCTGCAAAAGAGGGAGCTAATGCAGTGCCAGGTAGGCATCTGGGGTTCTGCAGGGGTGTGGGGTGGTGGGGAGGAGAGCAATGGCCTGTGGAGCACATTCACCAATCAGGGATGTCGGTGGAGCCCATCATGGAGGCAATGTTGATCACTGGGTTCCGGGCCACACAGGCACTGTAGGTCTCTGGGTACTGACCAATTAGGTGGCAGGAGAGGAAGCCACCATGGGAACCACCCATTAGGGCCACACGACTTGAGTCAAAGTGCTCCTCCTGAAGCACCTGCTCCACTGCAAACTATAGGAAAAAGGGAGAGCACGCTGCAGCCAGTTGACTGCCCAGCTGAATTGAGTTACACCCTGACAGCCTGCCTTCCACCCTGTTCCCCTCAGCCCCCAACTACCTGGACATCCTTCACATCCTGGTGGCCCACGTTGCCTGGGAGGGAGAGGATACTGTCCTGGCCAAAACCCGTGGAGCCTCGATAGTTCACTGGAGGTCAAAGTGGGACCAGACAAGGTGGTCAAGTGACATTCCAGGCCCTCTGGACACCCACCTATCTGAGAAGTGGGCCCAGGGATCAGCTACACCATAGACTGTCAGGAGAAAGTGGTCAAGTGCTTTGAAGCTACTTCCCAGTGACGATGGCATCTTTTCCATGGAGTCTGGAGTTGGTCCACAATATTGTCACCTTGTGGGACCAGAAGCTGAAACAGGCCACTTCCTGGGAGTGGTTACTAGGGCCACGCTACAGAGGCCTTGGAGAGGAGGCTAGTACCAATGGTGTTTGTATAAAGCAGATGGCAAACCAGGTCCACTCCCAAACCCCCACAGCCTTACCTTGATCACTCACCTAGCAACACTGCAAAGCCCATCTTGCAGAGCAGGGCTGGGAACAACATCCAGGCAGTGACAAACGATGAATGGGGGCCCCCTGCAGATAGGGAGCAGAGGTTGAAAGGGCCAGCAAGGAGGGGCAGTGGGAGGGCAGGGGCTCTTAGGTCAGATGCCTACCGTGCGGCATGACCACCATGGGGACCTGGGTCTTATCCGGACGGTTGCTGGGCTGCAGAAGGATTGCTTCAAAGTCAAGGCCAGCTGAAGGGAGAGTGCAGGTCAGCAGGGCCTGTGTTACCACCCAGTGGTGTCCTCAGCCAAGGCCTCAACTACCTTAGAGACCAGGCCAAGGCAGCCCACACTATGACGTACAAACTCCTCCTGCCCCCTTCAAGGAACCTCAGTCTCTGCAGGGACAGCATTCTGGATGAAGTGTGGGCATACAGACCTGTGGAAGGCCTATCTTTTTTCAGATCTGACAAACTAGCCTGGTGGTATCCAACTCTGATACCCAGAACATTTTCTCAGATGCCTGGACATTATCAACCACAAAAGGGATACAAAATCTTAGGGATGAACCCGGAAAAGGCTACAATGTAAGACAAAGCAGGAAAGGTCATAGCACATGTATGCTAGGGAACCTGGAGTGGGTGTCCCTGTACCCCTGGCCCAGCTCACCATACTGCACGTTCTCTTGCTCCGGGGGTGGCTGCAGCACCCGGATGCCCCAGTGGATGTCGGGAATGAGCTCAGCCTCCTCCAGGGGCACCCAATACACTGATTGTTCCTTCCCCGCAGGAGGCAGGAACCCAACTTTCTGTCAAGGGGGAGAGTGTCACACAGGGCCTGGGTGAGCCCTGCCCTTGCACCTCTGTTCCGTATGAGGAATGGGCAACTCTCACCATGCTGTCCCACCCACCTCCAGAGGGCACAGCATGGTCCCTTTTATGAGATGATGTGCATAAAAGGTAGTCATACACACAAACACACACACTTTGCTCCTCAGCTTCTACTGTCTCCCTCTGCCCTGCAATATCAGAGGACTGGGCACTTTCCCTAGGCAATTCTGTTGAGAACACCGTATATACTAACCTTGGACTTTCCCCCCATGGGTGCTAGCCCCTTGTGGACCAGGCTGGGGTCGGGGGGAAGGTTGCCTCTGCCTCTCTACATGCTAATCAGTTATGGATAGATGGTGGTGGGGGGGGACAGCTAACTGCTAGGGGGTGGGGAGGGCTCTGCCTGCATGGAATCCCTGGCTCCAGGCTCACCAATACTCACCAGGCTTGGGGGCTGGCTGGGTGTGGAGAACTGTGCCACCATGAGGTCCCGGTCAACTGTAAGAAGTTTCCAGCTTCCAGCTGGCAGCCCTGGAGAGGGCAGATGCAGGGCTCACCACCTTTTCTATCCCTTACCTGCACAGTCTGAATCCCAGGCTGGAGAATATATGGCAAGATACCCCTTCTACCCTGAAGGCAAAGGGACATCGCCCTCAAACAACTGTGGGTTCCTGGGTGAACCTCTTGCTCAGTTTCTCCTTCATCGGACACTAGCTGTGCCCCAGTAGCCGGGCAAGGGGACCCACTGACTACCACAGCACAACCGCCCCTCAAGGACTGCAGGGATGAAGGGGGAAGTTGCTGACTCCTGGCAGTAGGGTCCATAGAGATTGTTAAGCAGGAACTGCAGGTTTCATACAATACTTGGGCAGTTTTATAGAAGGGCAGGCACAATCAGGGAAGCTGAAGGACTAGAGACATTTAAGAGGCAGGCCTAGATATGAGGAAGATGAAGGGACCAGCAGAGGGCTTCTCCTGAGCTGTCTCTTGCCCTGAGGTTGTTCCTGCTAAGTGCTATATAAGTCAATTCCAACTCATAGCGAGGGTTTCCAAGGAGCAGCTGGTAGGTTTGAACTGCCAAGCTTGTAGTTAGCAGTCCAATGCTTATCCTACAGCACCACACCAGGATTCCTTGTCTGAGGTTTTGTTGTTGTTAAGTGCCACTGAGTCAGTTTCAACTCGTAGTGACCCTGTATAAGGTTTCCAAGGAGCAGCTGGTAAGCCTGAATCACTATGCTTGCAGTTCAAACCAACCTTGTAGTCCAGTGCTTTATCCTACAGTGCCACACCAGGACAGCGCCCTAAAGGTTTGAGAGGAGGAGGGACGACTCTGGCAGATCTTGACCAAAGCGTCTTGTAGGAATGGTGTAGGAGCAAGAGCGGGTGCCAAGTTGAGCACAGAAGGGCAGTGGACAGGGAGGTTGTTTAGTGGCTAGGTAAGGGTCCTGCCAGAGTAGGGCTCTCAGGAGACTGCTAGTAAAGGTTGTGGAGCAGTCAGTAGTGTAGAATGGCCCAGAGTGCCACCACTATCCCATGTGCTTATATGTCTCTCCCCCAGCCCTCCTACTCTACTCACCAGCAGTCAGGGAAGTCACGCTGCCCAACTGGGTGTTCACAGAGAACAAGTCCTGCAGCAGAAGAGGCCAAGTGTTGGCACCACATCCAAGAACCCTGAGCTTTGTGGCTTGCCCTTACTTACTCTCTATCCTCTTAGGGACACCTGGGCCCAAGCTGAGGCTGGGTAGCTAAGGCAATGGCTACTCAGTAGACTACGGAGTGGCTCAAGACCCTGTGTTCAAATCCCAACCCCATCAAAGCCTACTGAGTGGCCCTGGGCAAGGTATGCAAGATCTTTTTGAACTGGTGTAAGGAACAAGTAATACCATACCCTAAAGACCTTACTGTAAGGAAAACAAGAATCATCAAAACTGGACCAACACATAACAAGATAAATGGAGAAAAGATTGAAGTTGTCAAAGACTTCATTTTACTTGGATCAACCATTAACATTCATGGAATCAAACCATGCAGCACCTCTTTTAGTGTTTAGGAGCAAAGGTATTCGTTTGAGGACTAAGGTGAGCCTGACCCAAACCATGGTATTTTCAATAGTCTCATATACATGTGACAGTTGGACAATGAATAAGGAAGACAGTAGAAGAACTGATGCATGTGAGTTACAGTGTTGGAAGAGAATATTAAAAGTACCACGGACTGCCAGAACAAGCAAATCTGTATTGGAAAAAGCACAGACAGAATGCTCCTTAGATCCAGGATGC